ACACACACACACACACACAGACACGCGCGCGCGGTAAAAATGTGCATACGAACAAGGCGGAGGCACCGTGTTTATCTTCGTTGAAAGGAAAATGTATGTACATTAAAGACAATCAATGTTTTTTATGGAACCGGTACTTAGGTATTACACACACGTACTTTAACGTTAAATATTTTTCTACTTGGTATTCACACACGACGTGATACTGAACATTTTTTGTACACGCACATTTTAGATATTAAGGGTTTCACTTGCATTTTATCAAGTATACGTAGCAGGTATATTTATTCTAGCATATGCGTACATAATAGGCGTACATAACATTATTACGATTTATTTATTATATCACGTTACCATCGCATATATTATTTATTGTCATTTCTGTACTTATGTAATCGTCTCGAATAAATCCGACTTGTGTTTTTCTATTGAACAGCCACTCGACTTTCGTTATTATATCCAACTTATCGTTGTCCAACAATCCTTAAACAATCGCTTGACAATTTACTTCATTGTAAATGCGTTCTATGCGTTTATATGCGTTTATACCGGACTTTAATAAATTGTATCAGGACTGTATGAACCGTTCGCGCATCCGCCTTTAATCAGCTGACGATCGTTATCGATAGCTCAGCTGTGAGTGTTCCTCTGTTGCGGATAATAACATATCGGAACTGCTGAAGTTGCGTGGGTTACTCACCACACGAGCAACTTGGCGAAAATAACAGCGCAAGAATATTTCATGGAACGCGCAATGTAATTTATTAATGAGAATAAATTCCGCTCGACAACGCGGGATTCGAACAGTTCGAATTTAACTTTCAACGTAAAGTGACATGAAAGATTTGATTGATCATTTATTCATAAATTTCGAACGTTGTGTTTCGTGTCTGCCCCCGTATTTCTAATTTATAAAGCTGCCGTAGATACGAGTATTATACACTGAATATTTCTCCTTGTGTAATCAATGTTTATAGTACCGTTGATAAAAAGCTGCCACTTTTTTCCTATTTTCCATCGCCTGTAATTCCCCCCAGATTACATTCGATTCATTTTCGTCTGACATTTTATCTCGCGACAAGTTTGTTAACTCTAACGATGCTACGAATAATTTTTATACGAGGCAATTGAAAATGTTGTCGTTGCAGATTTTCATGTTTGATACTTGTCAAACTTATCAATGAAATCTTTCGCTATTATTTCCCTGCGAGCCCTTCTTCGAGACTTGCCTTTATCGACTTGAGAACAACTATCCCGAACAACAGGTTTAGTATCAGGAGTGCACGAAGCTTGGAAAAGCGAAGGCTATATTCGTTCACCGTTTTCATACACACGTAGACGTTTCCACCATGCACATCTGACGATTTACTTTGAAGAGAAATTTTGCAACAAAGGAATTTCAAGATACCGAAATATCGAGAACAAATAATACATACTGCCTACACCCGAGTTAGGCAGATTATCTAAATCTAAATTATTATTTTTATCATTTTGAATCGCGTTTGTCGCAAGCGGTAGGTAATTTCAATGGTTACATTATACAATAATCGTGACACTTTTAATTTCGTAAATTTCTGTTACGTCAGATAGGTGTATTCATCGTTTCAATTACAGGCGTAATTAAATTGAAGAGAAATAAATTGAGTGTAATCCCTTGTAATTTGTAATTTGCATCTGTATCTACGTGTCAACGGATGACAAGTTGAAACGCTCGTACGCAAATGAAGCCATTGTTTGTTTCCTCTTTACGCTGATGTACGCGATCATACCCGGAATACCGCAGCGCGTTAGTCTAATCTCGTGTGAGAAGATCCAATTTTAGTCGGGTAAATCCATCGAACTGTCTAATTATAGTACCGCCATATATGGTACATGTCTAACGTATTACGTATGGGATCAGCGTACGTTGAAGTAGACTTCATTCACTAGTTTTTTCCTCGACTCATCTTCTCCTCGTCTAGATCCGTCGGCAAACTATTGACCACTTTGACGTCAATTTTTCGCACCGACTGCTCTCGTACTTACGCATCATTCTCGCTCGCGTGTGTTGGCGATGTTCGGTGCAAGTTCTGCTTCTGCGGATGCCTCAAATTTATATTTCAATTTTTATACGAGAAATTTTATTTTTACACTCTCGTGTCTGGTTGAAAATCTCGTAGATATATACACGTGTGCGTATATACATATATATCAGGAATAGTCAACGCCAATAGAGAGAATAATTATTTTCATACGGATGATAATAATAATGTAAATAACAGGAAATTCACACGAGTGAAGAACGATTGATACGAAATTACTTTTACGTGACTACGGAACGACGCAACTCGAGTACACAACAGCGTTTATTTTTTATCAATGACTCGCAAGCACCGACATCTAGTTTTATCGGATCATTTCACGCTGACGATCTGTAACAGCAAGTAGGTGCATGATGATATTTGCTAGTAGCCGGTGATTCCTTGGCATTTGAATCACAATGCAAACATCGGTATTTGCGCCTGCGAAACCTAACATATACGAGGTTCCCGAAAGACTGCTAACGGAACTGTATACGCATGTGGTTGTTCCTTCCGATGGACTGGCCAATATTGCCGAGAGAGACTCGGTAAAATTGCCGAGAGAGACTCGACAAAATTGCCAAGAGAGACTGGGCAAAATTGCCGCGACTCGACAATATTGCCGAGAGAGACTCGGTAAAATTGCCGCGACTCGACAATATTGCCGAGAGAGACTCGGTAAAATTGCCGCGACTCGACAATATTGCCGAGAGAGACTCGACAATATTGCCGAGAAAGACTCGGTAAAATTGCCGCGACTCGGCAATATTGCCGATGGACACGCACGATCAGCCAAGTATCGTAGGTTTTTCCCAGAAAATTGAAATGTCTATAAACGGGAGTCCGCGAATCCGCGACGTCTATATCAACAGGAATTACAAGCGTTGAAGCGAACACGTCATACGGATAAATTTGGATGCGGACATAGTTGTCATGTCGCTCTGCCGAGAAAGGATTACTCGAGATTAGGAAGCTTCTTGACCAATTTCTGGAGCAGATCAGCCTTCAAAACGAACGAAATGACAAAGAGGATTCTATTCTCCTGTTCGTAGGACGACTCCAATAGAGTGATCACTAGAATGTTTGTTACGTGAATCAGTGGAGACGCAAGTCGTATTTTCGAGAGAGAATCGCTTCGAAGAAAAAGGCTCGGCGGCGATTCCACGGGATTCTACCAGAGCGGCGAAAAACTTGGATAAAACATAAACGGCCACCCCACCGTCCAATGTGCGTACGTACGTTCGATTGTTTACACAGTCTCGTATATAAGCTGGAAGCACGGGAGTTTGACAATCAGTCCAGCACGATCTCGAGCGGATCGTTAACGTCGCCTTAACGAAATCGTTCGCTTCGTCCGATCGATAAATCCAGCGTATCAACTGCTCGCTGATTGCTGGTTGCAACTGGCCAATTATTAGTGATCGTGCGATTGTTGTTTGATACTACCTTACCAAACCGTGTACGAAAGCTTGCGAATAAAGCGAGAATTAGCAAAAGCAAGATGCTCGTCTCACGTGGCTACTTGTTCGTCTCGATGCTCGTTGTTGCTTCTGCCGCGCCAAAAAGACACGCCAGATCCAACTTGCCAACGTGGTACTTGCCATGCGGCGAGGAACAAGCGGAGGACATCGAAGTACTTTCGCTCGAAGAAGAAATCAACGGCAGTGTACAAAATCTAACTATAGAAAACCTCAGGCTTCAACACCAATTGACCATGAACGATTATTTGAGTCGAGACTACGAATATCTCTACGAAGATGTTCGAATCGGTGTTGAGCAGTACCAGTATATCCCGAATTGGGTTCCCGGCAAGGAGGACGTGAACAAGATCAAGAAATTGGCCAATACTGGCTCGCAAACGGTGAGTATCACTCGTCATCATTACTTTTCTCATAGGAACCTTTTTATCGAACATAATTCGAATTTGGACTTTGTCTTTTAAAACAACAAATCCCTTCGTTCGTAAATTATTCTTATTTAAAGAGAGATCAACCTAAGCTCTCTGCTAGGAACGCGTAAAAAATTCAAACAATCAATATTCGACAAAGCTTCTTCGAAACTGCTCCAATAAGAGGTAAAAGAGGCAATTGAAAAGAAAAAATAGTTTAGATTAAAAAATTTCCAAGTGAGAAAGAAAGTGGGTGAGATATTTCATTCGCATTTCTATTTAGAAAGATCGTGCAAGGGAGTTGGCGAAGGGAGGTGTAGTAGACAGAAGAGAGTATCGAATTCCGAACGAAGCTTTCGCAGCAGTAAGACTAATCGCATCAAACTTGCCCAAAGACATGATTAACATTTATACATCGTTGGTTAATTCTCCTTTACGCGGTTAATTTAGCAGCGGTTGGCTGGCACGAGCGTTTGCATAAATATTCATCGGGCGTGGAGAGATTCGGTACGCGGGAATAAAGGGGGAAAAAGGTGAAGGTGTAGCGAACTCGCGGGAGGACAGGTGTTGCTGCTGGTCGCGCGCATTTTCACTGGCCAGGCCAATTGACCGAGCATCCCGATGTTGCAATTAATTAACGCAACGTTAAATAACAAATTTTAATGAGACGGTAATTATTATAAAGTAGCAGGGGAACAGAAGCGTGCGCGACTGTTCGAGATTTGCGCGCGCAGTGCAGCTTGGCGTATTCGATGTACAGTACACGGTTGCTCATGTTAGCCGGGTCGCGCGGCTGCGTAATCGCGCTTGTCCTCCGCAGCGATGCGTGCACCCGTGCACACTGATAACGCATCCCTGATAACGTTGTCCGGGGCATGTTTGTCCCGAACGATATTTGCCGTCGTCGTTCCTTCTTCCTTACGCTGCACCG